TAGGAAACTCTTTAGTTTCTTGATCTAATAGAAAATAAAATGTAGTATCCCTTTCTATTGCTGAAGTAGAATACATAGCCTTAGTTAGTTGTGTGGCACAAGTTCTTTAGCTAAAATAACAACAAATTGACTTAGAATTTTGTATTGGAATTATTCCAATTTTCTGTTATGATATAAGTGACATATGTATTTTAAAGTATCTTATTCAATATTCTAGAACCAAACATATTAATATAAGGCATCACTTCATTAGAGATCATGTGGCTAAAGGAGAAATTGAGTTACATCATATTTCTACTGAGAATCAACTTATAAACATTTTCACAAAACCACTGTCTTTTGAAATGCTTAGATCCTTAAGAAAAATATTAGGTGTGATTAATCTTAATGCTTAAATTTGTTTATTTACAAAATTGATTTGCAATGTATTGGTGTATTTGTTTATTTTCTTAGGCTATTGTTAGAGTTTGAATCTTTGTGTTTTTTTTATTTTGTTTATTTATTTTTGGTTATTTTTCTTTCATTAGTTTTGTGTTTCTTAGTTATTTATTTTCTTAACAGCATTTCATCGGATCTTGTATGATTAAAAGGTTCTCTATTTATCATGACTTGCTTTAAGTGTTCTCTTCGTACCGTAAGAAATTTTTTGTATTGTATGAACTCTGAACTGTGTACATGATATTTTTCTATGTTGAGCATGTAAGACTGAGTTTTTCAATGCATGTCATATTGTATAATGTCATTATCATCTATAAGGTCAGCCTTTTTTGTCTCTACGATTAGGGATGATTTTCCAAATGTTCGGTTATTTTTCTGATCATACGTACAAAATTGCATTTTGTCTATACGATCATGTTGTTAGTTTCTTATATGGACAAAACAAACCATCATAATATGATCTTTAATATTTTGATCATCCCAAATGATTAGGTGTTTATCTGTATGATCATATAGTCAAAAGCCTATACAAAATGATTCCTCGTGAATGGCATTTTATGAAAATTCATTTCATTTTGGTCATTTTTATTCTTATATAAGAAATATTTTTTGGCCCCTACGATTTCAAAATCATACATACGATCTCAATTTTATACTGTAAGATAGATCATTTTTGTTTAAATTGAAAGGTCTTGGATAAGTTTTTTCTACATATTCTCATTTCTTTCCAAACCTTCTCAAGTCTAAACTTTAGGAATGGCCAACAGTAGCAAATGGCCTCTCACTTCTAAGGGATCATCCTCTCAATATGGTAGAGATGACAACTTCCTCTCTAAGGAAAATGAGGGACCTTTTGATCGGTATGTTGCAGCCAAAATAACCCCTTCTCGACACATCATTCAAAGTGAAATCAACTTCTCTGTTATGCTACTTCTTGCCTCAACCTAGTTTTCTTTTATCCTCACCTTGATTTATACGTTCCATGGAGAAACTGTTTAAACTTTTCTTACAAATATGAAGGTAAACCAAGATCACATAAGGATTACCTCTTATGTATATAAGCAGTGTCTTGAAATAACTAAGGAAGATCTAGGCAACTTCCTTAATGTTAGAATCCAAGGAGTTAGAGCACACAACTGAACCTCTAGAGTAGACTTTTATTGCTCAGAGATAAGCCAGACTCTTAGAGTTGTTGCACAAGTAAGTCATTATCTCATATATACACTCTTAATCACAATGTTAGGATTATCTAGCATGTCTTGAGAACCTCTATCATTCCCAAAGCTGGTGATCATATAAATTGGACTCATCTTTTGTCCACTATAACATACATGATAATGATAAAACTCCTTTTGGTAGAGCCTAACCTATCATGGACTAAATTTACAAACTTTATGATATTAGACTTCCTCACAATAGGAGAAAAAAAAATATGGCCTTAGAATACTTAGTTGCCTATATTTTAGAGAAAAGGTACAACCTAATCCATTTTGATCCACCCAATGAACTTCCTATTTTCTTTATAAATGCATCTTTTCAGGCACTTTTTGGTCAGAATCAAAGTTTTAAGGAAGAATATTATGAGGGAGAAGGAGGAGCCCAGTTACAACACCTGCACCTATACCTGGACCCGACAAAAATTTCTATTAAGAAATGGTTCAAAGTTTTAATAGATTGGAAAATCCATTTTATCAATGCTTTGATCAAATTGAGAATCACTTGAACCAATAGGATACTATGTACAACGAGGACATGGATCCGAGGGCAATTTGACTTGGTAAATACTAATGCATATATGATTAGAAGTTACTTTATAATGTTCAACTCTCAACCACCTCCAAACTAAGGTCCCTCTAGTTTTTAGTTGTACTTCTATCGTGTTCCTACTGATGAAACTTTGTGTACTAGTTCTTGAGATGTTTTTTTTTTTTGTTGTGATTTCATGTGTTTCTTCATCTTGTATTGGTGATATGTGTTTTGAATGAAATGATGTATTATTGATTTGATATATATATTGCAATTACTCTTCTTAAAATGTTTATGTTTTTGAAGACAAATCATTTATGGTTGATCTTTATAATGCAATTTTAAATTATTTTGCTCTACAAATTAATTTCCTTGCAAAATTTAATCTTTCAAACTTTAAACTAAAATTATTACTCGATATAGATCAGGAGATCAATTTTATTCTTTTATATACATGCATTACTTAGCTAAAATTACTGCAAAATAGACATCTTATTTTTTTATTTCTTTTTCTATGCGTTTATTTTTATTAATTATTGGAATTTGAATTAAGATTTATTGATATTGTAAAGACCAAAAAACTAAAAAAGATGTACAATGCATGCCAAATTTGAAAAGATGTACAATGTTCATCAAAGTGAAAAGAGGCACAAAATTTGCCCAAATAGAAAATATGCATAAAGTGTGCGATAAACAATTAAAATTCATATTATTCTTTCCATTATCATTATATTTCTTATACAAATTCATATAATCAAAAATAATCTTCACTATTGAATTATAAACTAATTATTCTTTATTTCATTATTTTTGCAATAATTCTTTTTATTTAATTTCCCTAGAATAAATAATGAACCTGGTTGACTTTTCTTATCTAAGTTCGTGTTTGATTTAAATTTTGAATTTTTCTTATTAGTATTAAGAAGTTACTGTTGTATTTGCAATTAGATTGAAATCTTCTTTTTCATCAACTACTTTGATTTACCCATAGAAACTTTTCATTTCGAGATTTACTTCTCTTTTTGTTGTTATCAAAAGGAGGCGTCATTAGTTATTTTTTGATGTTTAGATTACTTTATGCATTGGTTATTTAATGTATTTTTTTTGACATACGTATTTGTGAATGTTTAGTTTGTTCAAGTTATCATGTTATTTTTCTTGTGTGTTATGTGTACAAGTTTGTTCTTATTATTTTTGTTTAAGTTTTTTTTAGGGTTTTTTTTATTTTCATTCGAACCCCTTTTTTTATATTGTTCATTCATTTATGGGGAGCATAGGAGAAAAATGACCTTCAGTGTTAACTCAAACAATAATATTTTGTCCATCATAAAAAAGGGGAGATTATTGCTTTGTTTTCAAAACTAAGTTTTTATATCATGCATGTATTTGATGTACCAAAATATTATTGTGTTGATTACTATTTCTCCTAACACATAATGTAAAAATCTTGTTCGTATTGTTCATGTGTATTAATGTTTCATGGATTTTATACTCCATACTATTGAAGACTTTAAGATACATTAGATTATGGTTTCTTGTAATTAAAGTATATACTTTTTTCTATTTTTCTTGAGTCTGAGAGAGTGTGATTGAAATGGGGTAGCCGTGCACAAAGACACTAGCAGAGTGAGTTAAAACTTGTATTTTTAAAACTAATTGTAATGTATGATTCTTGAATCATATTGGACGATTTAACATAAGTGTTTCTCCATAAAGAAGTTAATAAAATCATGCTACGGAAATTTTTTTGTGCAGTTCATAATCTACAAAGTTTAATTCGTACGGACTATGTCAAGAGTATGAAATATATACATACTAGTTCGTCTTGAATGAAATCGCCATTTTTTAAACCAAATGTACTATACTAAATTACTTTTGTATAGATGACATCCAAAGTATGAAATGGGTGCGTATCAATTCGTCTCATGCAAACAGGTAAATTTTGTGAACTTTTCGTACTGTAAAAAATTAGTTTCATATAAATGATATCCAAAGTATGAAATGGGCTCATCCATGTTTATACCATATGAAGCATGATTTGATTTAACTAGTTCATATTGTATGATGTAAGGTTCATACAGACGATGACCAAAGTATGAAATGGGTTTGTGCATTATCATATTAAATGAACCTGTTCATTTTTTGAACTGTTCATACATTAAAATATCAATTCGTACATATGACTGTCATAGAATGAAATTAGTTTGAACAGGATCATATAAAGATTTTTGAACTATTCATACATACAAAGAATGATCATAATATGCGATACAAGTATATCCAACTTGAAATTTTTAGTTTTCTGGATAGTTTTTCTTGTCCTTTCTTTATAAGGGTCCTAAAACTGACTATTGAATAGACTTCTGTGGTGTGAAACTCTTTGGAGCTTGTTGGATAAATGTATGTTGAGTTCTAATCCTTCTATCATTGGGGGAGATTTTAATTTTGTGCTTAATAGAGATGAGAAACGAGGTGGTAAAAGATTCCTTTTTACCAAAGGACCTAGAGATACGAAGGGTTTTATGACTTGTTGTGACTTTCATGATGTGGGGATTATTGGTACAAGGTATACATGGTGTAATAATAAGGAAGGGACATCTAGGATTTGGGAGAGGCTAGACAGATGTCTGTTGAATTTTACTACTCCGAAATTGCTTTCTTCGGCTGCTACTAGGCATCTTGCTAGGGTGGCTTCGGATCATAGTCCTATTACCTTCAAGGTCAATGATAAGGAGTGTGTAAAGTCTAAAATCATTAGATTTGAAGATACTTGGAGGATGTATCCAGCGGATAGAAGCATTGTTTATCACTCTTAGATGAAGAATGACTTTGGGGAGGAAGGTATGGTTCTACAAAGGAAGATTAACAGAACATTAGAAGCTCTTTTCTTTTGGAGTAAAAGCAAATGCAAAGATCTAAATGAACTTAAAGTTCAGCTGAAGATAGAAATTCTGGAACTTCAATCTAAAGAAGCTATGGGGAATGATTGGCCAGCTCAAGACCTGATTTTACTTAGAAGCAAAATTCATGAACTTAATGTATCCTTGAAGAGGTTATCTACATGGTGGAATCAAAGAGCTAAAGCTTGGTGGCTTGAGGAAGGTGACTATAATTCAAGTTGTTTCATAACTTTGCAACGGCTAGAAGGAATGGTAATAGAGTTAACCAAATTAAAGATGCTTACAATATGATGCAAATTGAAGAAGAGGAAATTGAAAAGGTTTTTATTCAACATTTTGAATGAAAATGGAAGAATAGAAGCTGTCAACTCTCAGGTTGGCTCAAAATTTTGGATAACCAGAAGTTGAATGATGAGGATATCCAGGTTCTTAGCTCAAATTTCTTGGTGATGGAGCTTAAGAAATCAGTCTTCCAGCAAGGGAACAATCGTTCCGCAAGTATGGATGGTCTTACTTCCTCTTTCTATAAATACTATTGGGATATAGTTTGGAAAGATTTATGGAATGCTGTTAATAGTTTTTTTACTAATGGTTGTATGAGGAAAGAGTGGAAAGACACTTTAATTGTTTTGATTGCAAACGTAAATAATCCATTGTTTCCTTCCAATTACCGTCCTATTAGCTATGCCAGATGAATTACAAGGTTGTAGCTACTATGCTAGTTAATAGACTGAAGATGTGTATGCCCAAGATGATTACTGAGGAACAAATGGCCTTTATTCCTGGGAGATCTATATTTGAGCACTGTCTCTTGGCCCAGGAGATTTTACACAAGTTCAAAGTTTCTAGAAATAGGAAGGGGATGATTGCTCTGAAGCTTGATATGGAGCAAGCTTATGATAGCATGGGATGGCCTACCCTTGATCACGTCCTCAAATGGTATGGTTTCCCTTATGGTTATGCTAATCTTATTATGGAATGCATTATTGATGTGAGGTTCTCTATTATCATAAATGGGAGGAATTCTAAATGGATTATGCCTCATAGTGGCTTTCGTCAAGGGTGTCCTTTATCCCCTTATCTCTACATCTTGTACTCTCAATTGCTATCCAATTCCATTTATGAAAAGGGGCTTAATATTGGTATTGAAATCTCTCCTAGAGGTCCTAGAATTACTCATCTCTTATACACTGATGATGTTATTATTTTTTCACAAGTCTCTAAGGATATTGCTAAGGAGGTGAAGAGTATTGTGGATGACTTTTGTAATTGGACTGGGCAATGGGTTAATACTAATAAATCTCAAATTATTTTTGGAAACATTGTTAGTAATCATATGAGAAAGAAGGTTACTAAAGTTTTGAGCTTCAAAGTAGTCAAGGAGATGAGCTATCTTGGGATAAAGTTATCTCTTAATCAGTTGAGGGCAGTAGATTTTCATGATATCATAACTAATATGATGGATAGACTCAATACTTGGGGGAAGAAATTTCTTTCTTTGGGTGGTAAGGTTACTCTTATCACTAGCTCTCTTTTGACCATGCCTAACTTCTTAATAACTCACTCTATGATCCCTATGAAGGTGTTGCTTACTATGGAAAAACTTTGTAGAAGTTTAATTTGGGATAAACATGATGGTAGTCATGGTATTCACTACATTGCTTGGGATGATCTTTGCAAACCAATAAGTATGGGAGGTTTGGGATTACAATCTCCAATGCTGAAAGCTGGACCTTTAAGAGCAAATCTGTTTTGGAATTTTCTTCAAAAACCTGAAACAATTTTTCATAGAACTATGAGAGCTAAGTATGGGAAGAGTATCTTGAATGGTACTCATAATAAGGTTACTTCTAAAGCTTGGAAGATCTTATTAGATGGTGGGAAATTTCTTAATAACATTACTAGATGGAATGTTGGTAATGGCAAAGAGATCAATGTGCTGAATGATATATGGATCCTTGACAGATGTGTCAACCTGTGGCCGACTTTTGCTGATTGTGCTGCCTTGGAGGGACTGTGTGTTCAGCAGGTAATGTTGGAGAATGGCCATTGGAATACTGATTTTCTTCAGGAGAAGTTTCATCCGGAACTTGTTAAGATGATCAGCAGTATCCAGGTTGATTCCAGCAGAGATGACTTGCTGGAAATGTAGAAGTTCTGTCCCAGTAGAACAGTTTCTGGATTGGCTTTTGAACAAGTATTAAGAAGAAGATTCAGTTTAATTGATGATGACTATTATAGTTGACTGAATAAACTCAAGTTAAGCAAGAAGGTGGAGATGTTTTGGTGGAGACTTGGGAATTCATCTATTCCTACCAACCTATATCTTAAGAACCGTAAGCTCCTGTATAATGATTCTTATGCTAGAGGTTGTGTAATGGTGGAGAACTATGAACATATCATTGTTCAATGCAAGTATTTGATTGAAATCATCAATCAGCTTGTTGGTTGGGGTATTTCTATTCCAATTTTTAATTCCTTGGATCATTGTCTCAAGGATCTTAAGAAAATTTCAGCAAATAATCTGGGTACTGTACAAATCTATTGTACCAATGTTTACTTCTCTTGGAAAAATAGGAATGAGATTAAGCATGGCAAAACTGCACTTCCTTCTTATGTGGTTGCTTCTAATGTATTATCAGTGGCCATTAACAAGACTAGTCCGTCTCTTTCTAACTGGAGCACTAACCTCCTTAGGGAGTCTCATGTTTCTTGGTGCCCCACCGAAAGAATGGACGAAAATCAATATTGATGCTTCCTTAACTACTTCGGGCGTAGCTGGAATTGGTGGTGTGTTCCGGGACTACAATGGTAGGTTCGTACTTGCATTTGGGGAGAAGATGATGCATTGGGATATAACACAGTTGGAGATGGGAGCAATTCTCTCGGTCAAGGACTATGTCAAAAGCTGGATGAGGGACTATAAAGGTGTGATTGTGGAAAGTGATAACATTAATGTTATCAAATACATTCAAAACTCCTTGAAGCAGAACAAAGGGATTATGAAATTCAATTTGGTACGAGATTCTTTATTTGTGAATGATTTCAATAAAGTTGTCTTTCTACATGCTTATAGGAAATGTAATAAGGTAGCCAACTTGTGTGCTACTATGGCTTTAGAGAATAGTTTTTATTTTGATAGCTTTTCTTTTGATGATATCCCTCCCTTGATGGCTAGTTTGATCAAGGAAGAGTATCATCCTTTTGATGTTTGTAATTAGTTCTTTACGTTTCTCTCCTTAATGCAAATTGCATTTCTTCAAAAAAAAGAATAGACTTATGTGGATTTTCTTATAGAAGTGAGAGTGATAATATTTTGGGAGAGTGTTTGAGAGTGAGGATTGATATATCTTAGAAGTTGAATTTGTGAAGGGTTTACAAAGTTTCTCAAAGGAGATGATCTCTTTAAATGTTCTTCTAATCTAAACTCTACTTCTTCGAAGACTTTTGAGAAAAGATCTTTATAGAAGATCTAGTACTCTATCATCTTCAGGAGGATGAAAAAGGATGTTGGTACTCTACCATCACTAGGAGGGAGAGAAAGGACTTTTGTACTATCATTACTAGGAGGGTGAGAAAGAATGTCAGTACTCTACCATCACTAAGAAGGTGAAAAAGGATGACAGTATTCTACTGCACCAGAGTTTTGTCAAGTATAGGTTATTATAAGGGCTTCTCCACATTATTGTGGGTGTAAAAAGATAGTCACTTTGGTATAGTGCAATACCCAAAGAGGGTGTCTTCAGGTAGTTGACATAGGTCTAGTTGGACCGAACCTCTATAAAATTTGGTGTTTCTATGTCTTTACTTTTTATTGATTTTATTATCGGCTCATTTATTTTTGTGATTGAAAATTTTATTTTGAGAAAAAAATTATCAGTGTGCATAAAATCTTAAACTGATTTTCTAAATTACCAATTCACCCCCACTCCCTTGTAGTTAGCCTGGGGACAAATCTTTAGGTTTAATAACCTATTCGAACTTTCAGTCTCACTCTATTAATTTCTATATTATCAAGGTATTATTCACCAGCATGAAATAGCCCCAAAGAGTGTATTTATGTGTGTTAAGTGTGTTTTTGTACTCCTATAACTATCAACAAAGCCTTCCAAACTGCTAATTTCAAAATGTATGGGGAAGAGTATTTAAATTTTTTGAACACTACCATAGGCTATAAAAAATTTATTAATTTCCTGAGTTGAAGATATTCTAATTCCAAGTGGAGGAGAAGAGTGGATAAAATAATAATTTTTTTACTTCTACCCTCAACTATAAATCCATAGCCTTCAACTAATTTATTTTTATAAATCTTATACCTAGCAATAAAAAGTATGGGGTAGCTAAAGATATGATCATGAATTTTTGAAAATGTTTTTTTTTTTTTCAGAATATTCATTATATGATTGATGGGTTTAGTTTTAATAGCCTAGAGCATCCCTACTTAATTTGTGAACTGTTTGAGTTAGTTAAGGTACTAAGGAAACTTGGGGAGGGGCAGGATATACTTGCTTCTACCCAAAATAAATCTTAGATCATGATGTTTAAAATCACAATTTCAAAGAATGGTGAGGGATCCGACTGTTCAAACAAAACAATGTAGTAGCAGGGCAATGATCTTAGAACACTAAAATATATTTTGGCGAACCTCCATGATAGAGTTAATCAGATTGGAACTTTTATTGATCACTTTGGGCAATAACTAACTTGGTTAGAATAACTTATGTACACCTATTATGATAACATAATGCTCAAGCACCAATAATAATATCAATATTATGCTGATTACAACATAACCAAGATAGGCATGTTTAAGAATTAGGAGACAAAATCCAATTATCAATGTAACTTTTTCTCTAGCTCACACCCCTTAGCTATATATCAAGGAGGAGAACCCATGAAAAAAACAAAAAAAGAGGGAGGAGGAGGCGACGATGAGGTGTAGGGAGAGCCAAACTATTATTTTTGTTATTTTGTAAAGTTTTATAATTTTACCTAAAACTTATTGTTAGTATTTTTAGAAGATATTTTTATTTCTTATTAATTTTTATTTCCTTTTAGTTAAGTTTATTTTTATTTTGCATTTTTTATTTGTATAAATTTACTTCTTATTTTTGTAGGTTCTGTAATTTGGTTAAAAAATTAATGACTTAAATTTCTCCAAATTTTAAGTTAGTACTTGTCTTACTATTGCATTTTTTGTTTGAGTTATGAATTTTAGAAAATTCAAAATTAATAGCCCACAATTTGTAAAATTTCTCTGATAAAATAGTAATAAATAACAACTAATCTTTTCATATAAAATTAATAATTTTTGATAAATTAAATTCTTAAAAACCACTTAAGTACTTAATTACTTACAAAGAATTATTGAATTTTAAGATTAAATTAAATTAACTTATTAGATTAAACATAAATAACTTAAAAAGCAATTACAGAATCATGAAACCCCTAACAATTTTAGAAAAGTATAATGAGTGAATGCCATAGATACATATTCAATATCAAAATAAGGTATTTAGCTAACAAAAGATAAAAGATATTAAAAAAATATGATAAAATATGTTTAAAAAGGTTAGAATTTCCTTAATAATAAAAATTGGTACATCTAACATTAAGAAACACTTAAAAATATTAAGTAGAGGCAATAAATAAATATTCAAAATATTTGTATGATACTAAGTCAAATAAAAATAAA